AAGAGAATACACCATTTACAAACTGTATCACTATAGATTACTAATTCTACTGTCTTATTTGATTGAGTATGGAAAAAAATTGCATACTTTTGAAAACAATGACACATATTCCATATTAAAGGTAGTATCATCTATACATATAAAACATAAATAAATATACAGAGGGAACAATTTTTAGCCATAAAATACTCATCATGTTCCAGATATTTTATTTTCGCAGACTTTAGATGACGAGTTTGCGTGTTTGTTTATACAAAAATGCTATTATGTGCGTGAGGCATTTAACTTCGTAATTAAATAACTTAAATATTTCGAGTAAAAAATGAAAGAATGGAGATGAGAAAAAAAACTGTTTAAGACAATGATTATTTCTTCATTCACATAATACACATTTAAAATATTTTTAAGGGACCTAAATGATCACGCCATATTACATTTTACATGTAAATACAATAAATTATTCTTACACTAAATTATTCAAGCTGTTCTGTTTATATTATCGTTATACAGATAATTTTAAGCAAGTTTTCTTTGATCATATCTCATGTTACGCTATGATGAAATAAAAGAAAAGAAACAAAGAAAAAAAGGAAATAAAGTCCATCTTGATTATAATAGAGACACCTGGCCATGTTTTTTTTCTAATAGTAAACTCTTTTGAACTATTCAAAACAGTGTACACGTGTAATTTCTCTAACATCCAATACATGTACTTGATGTTATTTTCATAACTATAGATGAAGACAATAGTAGTACAATTAAATGACATTCCATCGCTTAAACATCCCCTAAATCCCTGGTTATAGAACACATCTATGTTTGACATAAGTCTCTGGCGACCTTTCGGCCAAAACCTGAATTCGATGTATAGTCAAATTAAACTGAGGTACGCCCTTGGCTTGAGGTTAAGAATGGCGTACGCGATGTGACCTTGAAACTTACGTCTGCATTATAGTGTACACGGCTGTAAATATAAATACATGTATATCACGTTACAAATCATTGTGTGTGCATGATTTTATATTTAGTTTTACATCCGATTTGTAAGTATTTAAGATCTTTAACGTTAAGCTTTAAATAGACAAGTGTTTGTTCCCCCTGCCACTACCTGCCCAGCAGGAAATTAATTAACGCATATATGGTTGTTAAAACATTACAATTTCAGTTTTTAATTACAAATATTTGCAGGAAAGTGTTATTTTTTCTAGATCATTTATTAACTTGATTTTGATATTCTAATTTACTTTGACATTTATCTTATGTCAGAAATATGCGTTATATTTGCGATACAATAATGTTTCATACATTGTACTTTAAAACTTTCGCTAATTTTTATTTATTCGGAGCCAAAACAATTCATTACAGCAATCAAAACTTTGCAGCCCGTTCCGTCAGTCTTCGGATAAGGACCCCCAACACAATAGTAAGAATACACAGAAAGGATACGGTATATCAGTCTAACGTACGCACTCAGGATGATTACAAATAGTAATTTGATGCTAGTATAGTTGTTGACAGTTATGTCCAATACATAAAATAAAAGTCCACCTAAAATAAGTAAATTCATAGGTTTAAAAGAAAAACAGGTTACATTTATTCGCCATTTTTTCAATTTTGCTTATTCAGCCTTTTTATGGACAGATGACTTTTATATTTAGTAGGAATATTTCTTGCATTGTCTTCTTCTTTTGTATGGAGTTATGGGTCAGTGGGTCAAGATCAGGGGTGCCAAAAAAAGATTTATTCACATAAGCATACGCAGCCTTTATTTTTTGACTGATGGAATATGATTTACCCTTGATGGTTCAGTATTGGGAGTCTGTTTTATACAGGATTTGCTTTTTTACCAATGTCTCATATTTACAAGGAACAAAGTGGTCCTTAAAGTTTTTGGGGTCACTGGGTTCAAGGTCAAGGTCTTACATTTATAAATATTTAATAAAGTTTAATTGAATAGTTTTCAACTACATTGCATGGCAAAGCATTGACTTGCATAACAACTGTGCATAAAACGTGCTAAAAAAAAGGTTGTGTTTTTCCAGCTGGACATATTTTCAGGACGATATGAGGCTTGTAAACACGAATGTTTCGGTGTTATACAATTTTATTGTATCAACGCGCAAGCCTTGAATAAGATTACCGCAATTCTTGTCTGGTTCCCATCAAGACGTTAAAGATTGTACCTCAAGGTATATTATTTACTGCTTCAATTTATCCTTCATCAAATTTGAATATGGGTTACCTGGGGTTAAATTCTAGGTCACAGCCCAAATATAAAAAATCCTTGTGAACACTTAAGGGGCTACTGTTTTAGTCCAAATATCCAGGATTGGTCAAAATAGTTGTTTTGATGATTTCTAGGTCAAGATTGAATATGGGTCACTTGGGGTATATAAAAAAGGTCACACAGTCCTAATATGAAAAAAAAACAACATTTTTGATCACTTTAGAGGACATTGTTCCAATCCAAATATCCTGGAAATTTGGACTGAAACCTTATAATAAATAAGAGGCATCATGTCCCTCTAGTTTTTAATTGTAAAGTATTATTTGCGATGACATCAATATTTCACCTTCAATGATTTTGAATGTGACCATTAAAACAAATGTTTTACCTTTTTTAACAATTGATCTCAAATGAACGATATATTACGCGGATATGGTTTTCTTGTTGCTATACTTTTCTTTAGCGCATCGAGTGTTGCATCGAGTATTTTTCTAAAAGTTTTCTTAAGGTCATTGTGTTGTATCTTTTGTATTTGTATTTAATTTATCATTTCTGTTCTTAAGTTATTGACAATGGACAATTGTAATGTTGATTAATTGTATTAACACTCTCTCGCCAAATAGGAACATATTTGGGCTAAAAACGAGGTTTGTCGCGTCTACAACCAGGTTAAACTCACCAGTTTAGGTTTTTGCTTCTTATAGTTCCAATGCGTTTCCCTTATGCGTTCTTCTCAGTCACATGTATTTATGTCTTATCAATTGTGATAGGTTCTGTATGGTGACACGTTCTATGATGTCTTATGTTGTAAATTGTTTTCAGCGGTTTTAGCAGCATTAAATTTCAAATCTCATTCATATACCATTTGATGCTTACCAAATCCTTGTTTCGTTAGTCCTCAAGACAGACCTTTTGATTGATAACTGTCCCGGTTTTTGGTATGTCTCTTCCTTTCAATTTGCTGCCTTTGTCATCTCCAATGTTTTGGCTCGGTACCTTTCTGGGTACCGTTCAAGTGTGGTTTGGTTGCGTCGAGGCTTTGTTCTGTTTATGTCACCTTTCATTATTGATATTCTTCTCATTTTTTGAGTTATCATCGCTACTTGATAAATAAAATTCAGCCGTGAGCACTTAAAAATCAATAAATCCTCTCATGTTTTTTCTGCTTTTATTTGGTAGAACTACACCAAAGATATAATATTGTCTCTTGCAAAGACTTTTAAAGAGTATAATTTAAAAGAAAACTTAAAAATAGTTATAATACAGTTAGTGTGCATTTAAGTACCCTTATATGTTTAATATGATATTTGATAGTTCAATCTAGTTGACAAACTATTATCTCACGTGAATATGAATGTAATATTATACAAAACAAATACACGTGTAAGCTGGCATTGATACTATGAATCAGTAAAATAGGTCATTTATGTCTTTTCTTCTTTTGCATCTGTTTTATACATAAAAGAAATAATTTAAGCAACTAAATAGTGTTAGCTCACAACTAGTCACAAATCCCCAAAAACAACACTGCAGGGAGAATACACTTATAAACGTCATCTCAATTTCTTTTTGTGTGCATGTGTCCAATAATGAATCAGTTACGGAAGTGTGTAAGATAAAATGAAGAAATCGCTGCGATTTCACATGTAATGCTATGTCAGTCGCAGTACTTCAAATCATTAACTTAAATATCAATCTGTCTGCGCCCTTCAAATGAGTTGAATTGTATCATATTTCTTAGTCTCTCTTGTAATGAATGTAAAAAATAAACAATGTATTGACAGATTAATGAGCGTGTAAACATATTAAATACTGGCATAATGCGTTGTCAATCGAAAAAATCATCTGTAGGTACTTAAATTTGTTTCGCCTGATCAAGCCACTAATGTATGAATTGATTTCAGTAATTCCCTATTGGTAGTTAGAGGTTATAATTAGCTTTGTTAAAAAACGACTTTAGACTACCCACTTGCTAGTGCAACACTAAATTTATGGATATGATTTAGACATTTTTCCTGTAGTATTGCCCTGTTGACATCCACAATATTAATAATTTTTAATATTAATATTAATCAAATATTTGTATTGCTTTTGTGGTGCACTGTTTCTGGTCCTTGATTACTTAAAAAAAAATTGGTCCAATCATGTTTCTTGGATCAAACTAGCCTTGCCCTTGGGTCAGTTAAATGTATGAAAACAAAATGTAAAACAACTGTTTTCTCAATTTAAATAAAGGCTTGAAATGCAATTCTTAAATGTCAAGTATTCGTTATGTATCGTCATCGTCTAATAAGCCTCCATAGTTAAAGAACTCTGATAAGATATCAGTTTACCAAGATTGTTCTACCTGAATACCTATTTCTCCTTTTTGAAGCTTTTTTAATCATAACACAATAAAGTATAATGTACTGCAAATGTTTATACTTGAACAAAACGGATGTAATTGTTGTCCTAGACTACAATAAATGATATTCAATTTAGTTTTGAATTCTTTTACTATAAATTTATTTTTATTGATCACATAAAATGATTATTGAATCATTTTCTCTTTAAAAAAGGTTATTTTTGTATTAAATGAATTAGAATAATAAAGTCTTAATCTGAGTTATTTGACAGAAACACAATCTGTCAACATTTCTATTTTAAAGAATCGAAATCATTAACATAAATTGTTTATATAATGATAACGATTCTAAGCATAATTACATGTATAAGAAGTGTTTAAAGCAATTGTTTAATTTTTAAAATAACTTGTACGTTTCATCATTTACAGATGTGGCTATAACAGATGTAACAAATCAAAGAGTAAACAAAATGGCAACCGGAGGTCAGCCAAAGACGCTAGATAACCGTATATTTTTGTTTCGGTTACAAATACTAGTCATTGATGGTGGTCTCCTGGTATTGAGAAATATACTGGACCAGTCCTTGACATCTCAATGCATAACGTTCAGTGCGTGGTTGACTCAAGAAAAGTCAACAATAACACATTTGAAAAACCGCGGCATTATAACCCAGGTCCAATATGACCTATTGTTTCCAGCGGGTTGTAAAGTCCCAACTTCGGCAGATTTGGACATCACGCTGATTATTTGTCTTCTGAGAAACCTGAACTGTTTTGGATTAAATACAAAATTTAACTGGAGGGCAACACCAGCACATACCGATGTAACAATGGAAGCAGACATATGTCGGTTAAGGAATTTCCGAAATAAAGTAAGTATATTCGAAATGCAATTTGTAAATTCATGCCTTGGCAATACAGAAGAATAAAAGTAAATGTATATATTGGCAATATAAATATCTACGTATTTTAAAAGTAATGAAATTCTGCCAAACTTTAACTTAAATATAATTTAATCAATCATCATACTTAAACATATATAATAGTACAACTTTTAATATTGTCTAGACAAGAACTAATTCGGTGTATTGCAAATCTTTACAGTAGCTGTGTAGTCGTACTTTAAAGGTTAAAACATGAACATCTTAAACATGAATTGAATTTTTTATCCTACTTTTCCGATGCATTTTTTTTTCGAGCTATCATTACTTTCATGAAAAACTATGGACTTCTATTTTTGTCATGAAGTAATCCATCACGGCATTATCCGAGGTTATATTGCTTTCTTCAAATAGGCTACGATATTGATACTTTCATAAAATAATTCAGAATAAAACTGACGTCATGAAACAATCCGAGATATAACTGACGTTAAGAAACCATCCAAGATAAAACTGCCATCATAAAACAATCTGAGGTAATACTGCCCGCATGAAAAGAATACGAGACAATCCTGTCGTGGAGAAACGATCCCAGATATTACTGCTGTCGTGAAACAATCTGAGATAATACAGCATTCAGAAAAGAATCCGGAATATTACTGCAGTCAAGATACAATCCGAGATAATATTGCTGTCATTAATTAATCCGAGATAAAACTGCCGTCAAGAAAACATTCCGAGCTTATATTCCATCATGAAACAATCCGAAATATAACTGCAGTCATGAAATAATGCGAGCTTATACTGCCGTCATTAAAAACAATCCGAGATTATACATCCTTCATGAAACAATAAAATATAATACTTCTCTCATGAAACAATCAGAGATAATAATGTCACTTTGAAAGAATCCGAGATATTACTTCCCTACTGAAACAATCCGGGATAATACTTCCCTCATGAAACAATCCGAGATAACACTGCCATCATAAAAGAATCCTAGATAATATTGACGTCAAGAAAACACTGCGTTATAAAACTGACGTCATGAAAAATTTCGAGATGATACTGCCCCTATGAAACATTCCAAGTAAATACTTCACTCACGAAACAATCCGATAACACTGTGAACATAAAAGAATCAAAGGATAATAAAGCCGTTAGCATGAATATTTTTTAAATATTATCTGACATTTTGGATGAAATTTTTCGAGCTATCATTACTGTCATGAAAACCCCTAGGTGTTTTATTAATAACATGATAAAATCAATCACGACATAATACGAGGTGTTACTACTATCAGCAAATCTGCTAAGATATTACTACTATCATCAAAATAATCCAAGATAAAACTGCTATCATAAAAAATCGAGATAAAACTGCCTCCAATAAACCATCCTAGGTAATACTTCCGTCATGAAATAATCCGAGATAAAACAGCAGTCATAAAATAATCCGAGTTAAAACTGTCGCCAAGAAACAATCCGAGATAATACCGCGTCATGAAACAATCAAAGATAATACTGCTGCCAAGAAAGAATCCGGGATAATAATGCCGGTATGAAACAATCCAAGATAATACTGCCGCCAAGAATCAATTTGAGTTAATACTGCCGTCATAAAACAATAAATAAGATAATTATGCCGCCATGAAAAATGCGAGATATAAGTGCAGTTATTAATCAATCCGAGTTAATACTGCTGACAAAGAACAGTACGAGATATTACTACCGTAAAGAAACAATCCGAGATAATACTGCCGTCAGGAAATAATCAGAGATATTTCTACCGTCATGTAACAATCAGAGATAATACTTCAATCATGAAATAATCTGAGATATTGCTGCCGTCATGAAACAAACAGAGATATTTCTACCATCAAGAAACAATCCAAGATAATACAATCTTAGATAAAACGGGGCTAAAAAACAATTTGAGATAATACTGCAGTCATGAATTTAACCAAGATAATACTGTCATCATGAAATTATTCAAGATAATACTATCGTCAAGAAACAGTTCAAGATGTTATTGCTGTCATAAAACAATCAAAGATCATAAAATATGCAGTCATTAAATAATCCAAGATAACACTGCCGTCATGAATTAATCTAATATATTCCTTTTATCATAAAATAATCCGAGATATTACTGCCGTCATGAAAGAATCGGAGATTTTACTACTGTCATCAAATAATTCGGGATATAACTACAGAAATGAAATAATTCGATATATTACTGCCTACATTAAATAATCCGAGACATAAGTGCCGACATTAAAATAATCTAAGGTAATACAGCCATAAAGAAACAAGCCATGATAATAATTATTGCACTCATGTAATAATCTGAAAAATTACTGCGAACATGACAAAATCAAAGTTTATACTGCCGTTACGAAATAATCCGAGATATTTCTGCGTTATGAAACAGTCCGAGATAAAACGACCGCTTTAAAACAGTCTTAGATAATACTGCGTCATGAAACAGTCCGAGATAATACTGCCGTCAAGAAACAATCCGAGATAATATTGCACTCATGAAATAACCCGAGATAATACTGCAGTCATGAAATAATCCGAGATAATACTGACGTCATGAAATATGAGACATTTCGGATGAAATTTTTAGAGTTATCATAACTTTTATGAATAATTATGGGTTATACGAGTTAATATTATTACCATCAAAAAGGCTAATATATTACTACTATACAGTCATGAAACAAGCATATATAATACTGTTGTCATGAAATAATCCGAAATATTACTGCAGAAATCGAATCCGAGATATTTAAGCAGTAATTAAAAAAATCTGAGATAATACTGCAGTCATTAAAGAATCCTAGATTATACTTCCGTCAAGAAACCTTATCCGAAATGATAGTGCCATCATAAAAAAGTCTGAGATAATTCTGCAGTCATGAAACAATCAGGGATATTACTGCAATCAAAAAACAATCCGAGATAATACGTCCATTAAAAAAACAGTTCTAGATAAAACTGCTTCATGAAACAGTCCGAGTTAATACTGCCGTCATGAAATATTCCGGGATATTACTGCTGTTATGAAATAATCAAATATATAACTGTTGCAATGAAATAATCCAAGGCTTTACTGCCGTCGTGACACATACAGAGATTTTACTACCGTCATGAAATAAATCCGGGATATAACTACAGTCATGAAATAATCCGAGATATAACTGCAGTCATGAAATAATCCGCCATATTACTGTCGTCATTAAATAATCCTAGATATAATATCGTCATGAAAAAATCCGATATAGTACTGCAGTCATGAAACAGTCCGAGAAATTGCTGCCGTCATAAAACAGTACGAGATATTACTGCCATCCGTCATGAAATAAATCGAGGTGTAACTACAGTCATTACATTATCCGTGATATTACTGCCTACATAAAATAATGCAAGAAATTGCTGCCGTCATAAAACAGTACGAGATATTACTGCCATCATGTAATAAATCGAGGTATAACTACAATCATTACATAATCCGTGACATTACTGCTTACATGAAATAATCCGAGATATTACTACAGTTTTGAAATCATCCGAGATTTCACTTCCGTCATGTGACAATCAAAGTATTTACTGCCGTCATGAAACAAAGGGAGCTTTTACTGGCGTCATGAAACATCCGAGCTCTTATGCCGTTTTGAACTAATGTAAGGTTCTACTGCCACCATGAAACAATCGGAGCTTTGCTGCCGTCATGAAATAATCCGAGATACTACTGCAGTCTTGAAACAATCAGAGATATTTTGAGTGATTTGGTTCCTGGTAGTATGGACGTGCTAAACCGCAAACTTTAACATTTCTTTGAAATTTCTAAATGAATTTTCGTCATGCTGTAACACACTAGCCCTTTTGACAAAATCTTTAAGCATACCATATTTAACTAGATCTGGAGCAATCAATTACCTTGACCTTAAAGAACAAACGATGGGATTTAGCTAAGTTTTGTATAATTTTGTAGCATTTTCCTTTTGTACTTTTTCCATAAAATGTTTAACATTTTACTTAGTATGGGCTTATAAACTTCGTAAGGCATTATATCTTATTCATAATAAGTGAATTGTGATGTTTTCTGCATATCGCACTCTTTGGGTTTTATACCCCGCATTTTGTCGAAAGCAAAACCTGTATAACTAAATACACTTATAAACAAATTTGGCATAATTTGCATTCTATCGTTCTTATTACTGCGGACGTAAAAGGGGTCTTAAATCTATGTAAACAAAAAATCTACTTTACTTTCATATTCAAAATTATCAATGTCTCCCTTGACAAAATGGTCTGTGTTGTTGTTGGTTTGTTTTGGAAGGGGGGTAGTGGGTGGTCTGTAGAAGCAAAGAAAGAAGAGGGGGATTGTTTAACTCCAATTCGTTAATTTGAGCTCATATTTCAGGTGAAACATATTGTTTTTTTTATTTCAGATAAGTCATATACCAACAACGACTGCAATACAACAAAATGATTTCACAGTTTGGTTGAATGATATTGAACAGGTAAGCACATTTCGCTTTCATAGTATTATTATTATCTTTGTAACCTTTCAATCAACTTTTTAAATAAAGAAAGAGTTTTATATATGGTAAATGATGTATTCTTAAAGAATTGAAACATATTATAGGATATTCAAATTTAATAAATCATATAAAATCATAATCCATATAAGCATGTAGCGTTAAACATTTATAAGTATACATGTTGACGCTACATATACGTCAAAACAAGCAAAGAATTTCAAACGAGCCAATTTCCCCATGGATTCATTTGAGTATTGAAATTATTTACAGCACTTCTCGCTCTACCTAAGTGACACTATTGAGGCTTTTAGACATGACGGGACTGGAAGTGATTTTTCGGACTATTGTTCCGTTTGAAGTAGGTCTCCGTTGCTTCAAGAACAACTATTCTAACCGTGTAAATCGACTCGACTAGTTATTGAATAAAGCAACGCAAAAAAGCAAAATACAATTTTGAGCTTACCTCTCAGAGGTGATTTCTGTCAAAATGTCCAATTTGATCTACGTAGGAATTTCAAATTTTATAATTCAGACTTTACTTCCACAGTGAAGATCATTTGATTGGAAAATATTTTTTTGTAAATTTTGGAAATCTTTAACACTAACTGAATTATTTTGACTTACCTCTGCGAACGCTTGGTGTATTTAGACTTAAAAAAAACATTTACACTTTCAAGTATCAGTACTTTAAGAGCGTCACGATTTTCGGGTGTCAAGTGCATTCAGTGCTTCACAATTTTCAGGTGTCAAGAACTTTCTGTATTTCTCGATTTTCAGGTGTCAAGTACTTTCAGTGTGTCACATTTTTCAGGTGTCAAGTACTTTCAGTGTTTCACGATTTTCAGGTGTCAAGTACTTTCAATGTTTCGCAATTTTAAAGTATCAGTACTTTGAGTGAGTCACGATTATTAAATGTCAAGTGCTTTTAGTGTTTCACGATTTTCAGGTGTCAAGTACCTTTAGTGTTTCACGACTTTCAGGTGTCAAGTGCTTTCAGTGTTTCACGATTTCAGTGTTTGACTAAGTTTCGACGTACAGTTTTTTCAGTGCGTTACAATTTTCAAGTATCAGTAATATCAGTCCTTCAAAATTTTCAAGTACCAATTATTTCAGTACGTCACAATTTTCGGTTAATTTCATTGCTTTATAGTGTTTAACAATTTTCAGGTTTCCCGTTCATTCAGTGCTTCTCGATTTTCAGAATTCAAGTAATTAAAAAAATCACGATTTAAGGGTTTCATTTAGTATCTACAGTGCGTCACAGTTTTAAGGTTGTGCAATACTTTGAGTTCTTCACTATTTTCAGGTTTTAAGTTCTTTTAATGCTACGAAATTTTGATCTTTCTAGTTATTATAGTGCTTCAAAATTTCCAGGTTTTCCAGTACATTCAGTGATTAAATATTTCATGTTTCCAATACATTCAGTGCTTCAAAATTGTTAGGTAGTTTGAGTGCGTCAATTAGACAGCTTAGATATTTTACAGGGAACATAGTTTAGAGGACGTCCCTGGTGTTAAACTTGCCACACCTCGGGGGTCATAGATTTCCCTTACTGGGGCTTGAATTTAAAAGCATCCACATTTGAATCCACAATCGTTACTTTGCTGTCATTAATGACGATATCAGATGCAGATGTTACCTTTGTGAAAGTAAAAGATTAAGACGTATTTTTTCATTGATGGTAAACAGTGTTAATTGTCCCTTGTCATCAAGAGCCTTTATAATAAAGAGGATCGTCATGACTCTTGTGCAGTAAATTTTGACTTTCATGTCTAATACTTTTATTTACATATAAATTGTTGTGTCAACATCTTTGATAAACACAAGATTATCAAACATTGGAACTGAAATGATAAAGTTATTCATTTCCGGTTTTAGATACTTGTTCGTCTAAGTTCTCCAGCTTTGAATATTCAGCAAAAAATCGACGAATTCAAAACTTGCCCTCTTGATCTGGAAGAAGAGAAAAGGATACAGAAAGAAATAAAAAAGTGGAAGTATGAAGACGATGTTGACCGACTAAAACAGGAAATGACAGGCGTGAAAAAAAATGTAACTGACGTGAAGAAAGACCTTGAAGACATAAAGGAACATGTAACTGATGTGAAGAGAGATGTTGATGAGATCAAAAGACGGCAAACGACAGGTTTGTTATTTCTTAAGCTTAAATATTTTATTTTTTAATGAATACTTCATTATTGAGATATCTTTAGAAAGGCTGATAAAAGAATATACTAGAATACTAAAAAATGTACTTCTGTAGCGTTTTGATCCCGACGTTTCCAATTTTTGATAAGTATCAACTCGTTTATTTTTTCGTAAATTGCTTTGACAAACTTCATAAATCTCCGTTTGTCTGTTTGATATGGCAGATAATTGCGTTTCCAGACCATTGTCATTGCCAGAAACGTCAACAATAGAACAGTGTTTAAAAATGAAAATTGTCTCTTTCGGAGATTATAATCGATTTCTTCCACTTTGCAGATAAAACAAATTTAATATCTTGCGGTAAATATTTAATGTAAATCTACAATATTTCTAGGTTTTCAGTCACAATCAACTTCAAGAAAATCTTAAAATGTGCCGCAGTATCTATCAATGTAACCGAAAGTTCATAACTTTTGTGTGGAAATTGTCAAAAGATACATGCACATCAATCAATCCCGTGGATGAAACAAGTGATAAATAATTATTTAATAATCTTAAGATCCTTTTACTGATTTTATATGGTTTTATATCATAAATATAATGCTCAAATGAAGATTTATCAATATTGTATGTTCCAAAAATCATTATTTGTAAAGATATTACCAAATTTCTATTTCATGTTAATTTGAAATTTAGTTCCTATAAAGTCTAAGTCATTTCGTTCAATCAGATATGAATGCATATATTTTAATGATTACACATAATGAGGACAAATATTTTCAGTACATATTTTACATATTCTTCGTTGTTTGAAAATCGTTTAAGAAGCATAATTATATACATATATAAATTTCACTTAAGTGTGGTAACAACCTTATTTATGACATACAGGATCTTATATAATTACAACAAAACGGAACGGTTTCTTTCTGTCTTGTGTCTTAAACATGCTCGTTAAAAGCTTTGAAATGAACTGTCAACGTTTTACACTTTATAATTGACCATATAACCCCTTTCAATAGGAAATACTTATTCATTTATTATTTACATTACACGTTTTGTTATTTGAGAATTATGTACATAAATGAAAGATCACCAATGAGCGTACTTATATGATGTAATTTTATTGATAAACCCTGCACAACAAAAGTTGTTAGAGGACTTAGACGCCGGCATGAATAATCAGACGGTTTCAAGGCACTGTTGATTGCTAACTTTGACATAATGAATTATTTTCGTAAAAGAAAACCAACAGAAATGCATGTGTACCAAAAAAAGACAACAACAATGGCAACAAAAATTTATTTCGTAAGTGCTGTCCGCATGGATAATTTTATTTTTCGAGTTTTCTTCCTTTTGGTTAAAATTTACAATATTGCCCGTTCACAAAGCTGGATCCTTAATAACGCAGAAAGTACCAAAGAATATTTTATTAACTTAAAAAATATGGGTAGATGGCAGTCTTGAGATTAAAAAAAAAGGTTGTTGTGGCAACAAATAGACTCAAAATAGTGAAAATATTTTAATGAAACTTGAAATATAGATAAATGACAGTATAGAGAGTATGCACATAATTTTAGCTTGACTCTGGGGTGTATATGTAGATGGGTCCTACTTATCAAGTGTCTGCAACAGCGTCCTGATTTTGACAGATTTTATTTCATAAAATCTATGTTTCACTAAAACTTCTTTATTTCTAAAGGTATTAACTTTAAAATTGAAATTTATGTTTCTTATTATCAACATCATATGTGACAAGGATCATAAATTTAGCAGAATAACCCCCTTAAACTTACAACTTTCATTAAAAGCAATATTGTTCTTTGTGTAACTTCTTTATTTCTAAATGTTTCTTCTTCAAAATTCATTAATATCTGTCTTATCATCACCCACCTTTCTTTCTTTCTTTCTTTCTTTTTTCTTTCTTTCTTTCTTCCGTCCCTCCTTTCTTTCTTTCTTTCTTTCTTTCTTTCTTTCTTTCTTTCTTTCTTTCTTTCTTTCTTCTTCAACCTTCAAGTATATGTTACTTTCTGTAAAATTACTTGTTTTCACCGAGCATGCTGTTTAAAAGCAATGTCATTTAAAACCACAATAGTCACTAATTCCATGAAATCCTCCCTGGCCATTCGAAACTGTAGCTTCAATTAGTGTGGTGTGCTGCCTTTAGACTTAAGATATTCGTTCTTTGGCACCACTCACATCATGTTTGAAGAGGCTCAGAAGTGTAGCATCTTCATTATAAGAGTTATCTCCTCCTTGGTTTAATGATTATTCTTTTAAAAATATTATATACTGGTTTAAACCAGGGATGAATAAAGGTTTGCCCTCTGTTTACGCGTCCCTAAAAACTGTAAATCGTGATCACTTTTAACAACTATGTATGGGAAGCTGAGTTTCCTATAACATGACTGAAAAGTTGGTATTTTCTTTATATTATTTGGCGGTAAAACAAACAAGAGGTATCTTTAAAAAGATACTCGGATTTTACTTTCAAAGGTTGTTTCGGAGATTTTAAAATGAAGAAATGTTAACTCGTTTTTAAAAAAAAACCGTTTAGATTTAAATGTGCAAATTCTCAGTCGCTGAAGGCACTTTTTCAGACTTTGAAATTGGATTGACTTGAAACACAATACAAAAACGACAGCAGCTTTAAGAAAATAACAAAAAAGCAATATTTTCTACACAATTTCCATTTATATACCCCGTCTTTACACAGACTATCAGAGTTTTTAAAGTACGTTTTATATGATTTTAGTATGTTTATCTTTTTGTGAATGAAGTTAACAATAATTAGACTAAACTGAACACTTTATTAACCAATAAATGGTTTGAAATGTTAAAAACCCTGATCATTAGACGACGTGTGCACACGGCAGCTAGTAGATATGCATTCGCCCATTCAGCAATGGGGGAAATTTTAGTTATTTTTGTTTTAACAAAATTACACTGTGTTCAGATTCTCTAATACAATATTACGAACGGCACATTGTCCATGTCAATAATGGTCAAATTATCATTAACAAAAACACCCCTTGATCATCAACAACATAATTACTATCCAGCACCTGTTTACTATGTAAAGGAAAGAGCATCGAAACACGAGGTTATCTGATTTATACGAGGGGGCGTAGCTCCCGATTATTAATCAGATTGCCGAGTGTTTTGATGTTCTTTCTCTTTTGTATCATAGTCAAACATAAAAACACGCTCCTTGTTGTCACAATATGATACCCCAGAGAAAAATTACCAATGAACGAGCATCTTAATATGATATTTCTGTCGCTTTCACTTTCTATGCCGTCACAATAAGTAAACACCAGCAAAAATGAGCCAATAATGCTCTGGAGTGCGGGTTACTAATACCTGCACTCCAGTTAACGCACGGTGGATATGTATACGATTTAACTAAGACACATTTTCAACAGAAAAGAGCCCAAACTATGATACAAATAATACATATATACAAGGTATGTTACTCGACGTAGCTTATTCACCCGATACAGTAAACGTTTTCCTCTCGCTTTTTTAATATAAGACATATTCTCATACTTAAACGTGGAAACATAACACAATAGATATATATGTCGGTAACTGTTAAAAATATTAAGCCATCTATATTCATTGACGATAAATGATTTATCAAACGTGAAAAAATACGTTAAAATTGCGACGTCGACATGTTTTGTGCCACGGAAATTTCCAAAATACCACAAGTAAACATACATTTAGCTGTTTCTCATTCGTAAGAAAGTATTCCAAGCATGTTAACTAAAACATTGAATTCCAGTTATTATATAACGATTGTCACATATTTAATGTCACATGTAAGCACGTTTTAACTAAATTTAAAAAAACTCTTTTTTTTCTTTCAAAACTCCGCTGTCAAATGAAATGGTAAGTTTTCATTGGTTAATTTAATGTGTGTGACCTTATAGTAGCAATCATGAAAACAAAGAAGAAGTATATAAAACTGAGTTAAAATTGCATAATTTGGATATATAAATTGTTCACAAATAACATATTTCAACTTGAATTTAATGTTTGAACGTGTTTTTGGAGTTATTGCCCTCTGTTCATTTTGACACATTGAACTTTGTCTGGGACATTACTCTAAAACTGTAAGAGATATCAACATGAAACTTTGTAAGTAGATAGATCTCATTGTGTAAAAGTGCAATGCTAAAGAACCATAACACTTTCTTGTCTAATTTTGGAGTTATTGCCCTTTGTTTATTTACAGTTGAACACTTGAACATTGTCCGGGACATTACTCTAAAACAATAAGAGATATCAACATGAAACTGAAGAACCATTACTCTGTCTTACCTAATTTTAAAGTTATTGCCCTTTGTTCATTCTAACACTTTGAACTTTATCCGGGACATAACTCTAAAATTATAACATGAAACTTTATAGGTTAATAGATCTCATTAGGTAGATGTGCAATGCTAAAGAACCATAACTCTGCCTTGCCTTATTGTGAAGATACAGTTGACCCCACTTATAACGAACTCACTTATAACGAACTATCGTTAATAGCGAACTAAATCTGAAATCTGATTCCTTCTTTATTTTATATTAAATACCATCGCTTAATACGTACTGGCTTAAAACGAATTTTCGGCTATAGCGAACAACGTTTTCTAGTAAACACATAAATTCCCTCGGTTTAAACAATCTGTTATAATTGAAAGATCGGGATTCACTCGTTTAAAGACCAGTACATTGTTACTGCTATCCGATAATCAGTCAATTGAGTTATTGCACAGTTAAGTTATGGCTTCAGGAAATAAGAATTTTGATAAAATGTTCTCACAACATAATTTCCTACTTGTTTTTCGCACCCTTGTTAGAAAAGTAACCGTAAATACCCGATAATTACCAAATTATCGATTCTATGTATGAAAATTAACCAAATGATAACAAAACAAATAGCAAAATAGTTGAAATAGTAATCATTTTATAACAACAACAACAACAACAACACATCTTTTATTC